CTGCATTACCAAAGGAAGATTGCTTAAAACTACCACAAGACAACAGCAGAAACCCACCCAGCCACAGGATGACCTCGTCCACGTCAAACGGATACTTCATATCGCCGTCCACCAAGCCTGGCGAATCAACAAACGTCACCAAGCTGAACCGTTTCTGTCGAGACGTGCAGATCTCTGTGCTCAAGTACTCTGAGACACCTGGGGAAGAATTCAGAAACACAGTTACAGTGAGTGCCTAGCATTAATAAAAACTACTACTCTAAAAGGTTTTCTCTTCCTATTCAACTGGGCGCTTTAATCATTTTTTGTTTGTTTGTTGGTACATACAAATCCTTTTAAATGAATTCCAATAAAACGGCAAACTGCCAAAACACTGTCCATCTCTGGGCATATTAAATCTCTCACCTTTAAACTCCTGCAGAGGTTTGAAGTGTGGATACAGATGAAGGGTGGCGTTTCCCTAAAAAAATAAATAAATAAAGCAGAAGTAGATCTGTCACAGATAGTTTGCAAAAAAGGACATCGGGTACTCCAAGAACATTGAAACCACCAAAGAGGAACTCATTTTGATCCACAGTAATAAATCACTGTTACGAGGAGCAGACGGCTGACATTTTAAAGATGAAATGGCTCACGGTGGGAATGAGACGTGCCTTTTGAAAACACCCACAGCCCTGTCTCAAAAACAGAAAATGGACTGCAGCACTTACTGTGAGAGACTCTCTCTTGCGTCCACTTGTAACAAAGCTGAAGCCTTGGGTCTCAATTGCTACTCCAGTGCGCTGGATGTGCTCTTCCACGTACCTGAACAATAAAAACAGAAAGATCTTGATTATTGCTAATCTGAATAGTGTATAAAAACCAGAATGATGGGCGTAACTGAATGCTAAAGACACTGATAAAGATGGACAAGATAATTTAGTCAACTCAGATTCAGACATGAGTCAAATGAAGATCCGAGAACATTTAGAAGTCATTGTAACTCTTTAAATACTGGTAATTTCAGAGGATACACACATGCGCTTCATTCAGTCTGACTGCTGTGCAACTGGGCAACAAATTAAAGGAAAGCCAACAGGCACCTTGGTCAGGTTTTAGTCTGATGAGGGCCTCCAGTGCCTGTTCCTTGGCACTGAGTTTACTCTGAGTTGTGCACCGATTCCCTGTACATGGGCACATGGTTATCATGAAGCACAACATCCCCATCAGGAAAGAAATAGGATGAAGGTGATCGCTCACACCAAGTTCCCTCTAACAGCTGATTTAAACTTCTGCAAGCCATTGCTGTCATTGCAATTGGTAATGATTGCAATGCTTTATATTAGGTTATGTGGTTATGTCCCGGTGTTTTATATGCAGTGGATGCCACAACAGAAACACCTGAGACTTTGTCCCTCCTGAGTCCTACTTCCAATTTTCAGTTTTAAACATATTTGCCCCTCAAGTTCCTCCATTTTTTTTTCACATTCCCTAATATCTATTTTAATGGTTGGGACAATCTCCTTCCAGGAAATTGCTAACATCTATGAGTCCTGAAGGTGTAGGGTTGCGGAAGGATTTTGCGGTTACCACGTACCTACAGCATAGATTTAACACAGAAGTCTCCTCATCCCAGACACCAGATTTCCACTACTTTGTCAGTTGGATAAGTGGTTAATAATCTGCCACCTATTTATCCATAGTATATATTTACCAGTTGATGAAGGAGCTTTTCCCAGCAGAGTGATTCCCCATCAGCAGCACTGTGATCTTTTTTCTGGGCGGCAGCAACTTCACACCAACCGATTCGGCCACTGTGATCAACCCTGAATATAACAGAGAGTAGGACACAGATGGTTTATTAGCTTCTGTGGGAAAGGAGAAAAATCATGGTGCTGTGTTGGGATGAGCAGATCTAAATGTTAAGTGACATTTGGCATGTAAAGGACAATATCAAAGTTCTCAACTACTCAAAGGTAGCCATTTCGCTAGGTGATAGTCTTCTTTCTCTCATCATTCCCATTTTTTCACTTGGCATTTCGTCTCGTCATTATCTTTGAGATATATCAGCGAGATGTATGAGTCAACTGGCAGATCTGTTTTTAAGCTGAAATGTTGCACACTTTCTCAATATACAGGATAACCCTGTGCTGCCAATACTGGAGATAGATCCAGATCCAGAAGTGTGCCTTGTAAACCTATATTAGAAGTTACATTACAACTATGCAACTGACTTATTAATAACAAACAAAGTGTCACATCAGTGGGTGACTGATTTAACCAGCATTAAAGATGACAGTCGCATCGTCAGCAAATATAAAATCCTCACTAGCTAACTCAGCTAACGGTTAGCTCCCCGTGCTTTGGGAAAGGCTAATGTTATGCACAAAGTTAGCTAGCTACCCAGCGGTGCAGCAAAGAGTTTGTTTTATCAACTTTAACATCAAACAGGCGTGAGGTGCAGGCGTCAGGTGAGATGCTGTCAGTTCCACGAGTTGTACGTCAGCCAACTCACCGCTGTCAGAATCCGCGTATAGTTCATGACAATCCCGCAAGATGCGCTCATCGCAGGACACACCGCCGGTTATCAAGTCTGAGTTTGCGGCACTTCGGCTCTTGATTTTCCCGGACATCGTTACACTCAGTGATGAATTAAAAGATTCACACAAACTTCAGCAAGCATATGAATTCCACCTCAATGAGCTAGCTACAAACAAAGCCGGTCTGCCTCGTTTGAATCGCCCCGGTCCGTACCTTGGCCACGTCGTCAGCTTGGGCGGCTTTTGTTGCACGGGATTATGGGTAATGAAGTTTGGAATATGTCTGAGGGGAAGCGCCAAACATTTCCTGGTTAGACAGACATATATGATATGTAGAGCTGTTTTTTAATAAACACAACATTTCATTAGGGAAACTTTAATAATTAAACTAGATTCCCTTGTGTTTAAAACCACAGCAAGTTATATCTGCAATTTTAAAAACATAAGTAAACGAGTATTTCAAAGCCAAGGACATTTACGTTCACACATGCTGCACCTTGAATGTAAAAATAATTTGTAAGCATCATGTAAGTAATAGCAGAAAAAGACTTTTAAGGATACCTGATCCCTATTTTGTGGGGCTCTGTGCAAATTAATGCAGACATGTTAGTGTATTTGTGGTCCAGACATTTTGGTTGGATTTTTAAAAACACTGTCGACTCACACCAAGAAGTTCCTTGGATTAAATCAAAGCATTGTCTTGCTGAACTATGCAAGGTCTTCTCTGAAAAAGATGTCATCTGAGTGGGAGTGGGAGTACGTGTTGCTCTAAAAAACTGTATGCGACCTTTCCAGTGTGAAAGCTGTCAGTTTCATAAGCAATTATATACTCTTGAACTGAGTGCTGTTTACAAGCCAGATGGTACATCTACTACTTTTAGTCCAAATGATGTAGTTTCCATGTTTTCAAAGTGAATTTTAAACTGTAATTAGTCCGAACACAGAAGACATTTTCCACTTTGGCCCAGTCCATTTTAAGTGAGAATTGGCCCAAAGAAAAAGGCAGTATTTCTGGATCATGTTCATATATGGCTTATTTTTTGCATAATAGAGCTTTAACCTACATTTTTGGATAGTCTGGTGAACCGTGTTCACAGACAATGATTTCTTTCTGAAAGAGTTCCTGAGCCCGTTTCATTCAAGAATTATTTAAGAATTATATCTGTTTTAAATCTAGTGCACTGAGGGCCTGAAAATCACAGGCAACCAATATTGATTTTTGGCCTTGTCCCTTGCACACAGAGATTTCTCCAGATTTTCAAAATCTTCCGATGATATCATGTACTGTCAATGATACAGTATTAAAGAATGAACAATTTTACATTGAAGAACATTTTTTCTTAAATTACTCCTTAATTTTGTAGATGCAGTTTTTATATAGATTGGTGAAACTTTAAGATGCTTTTCTTAATACAGTCTTTTTATATCCAATCACAACCTGTTGTCACTTAACCTAAATGCAAAATGTTCCTCCAGCTGCTTCTTTTTAGTTCCTCTTACTTTTCCAGTCTTTTTGTTGCCCCCATCCTATCTTCTTTAGAGGCATGTTGCTGCCATCAAATTCAAAATGAGCCAATATTTTACATGAAACAATAAAATGATGCATTGATATGTTTTCTCTGTTCTACAGTGAATGAAATACAGATTTATAAGATTTGCAAATCATTGCATTCTGTTATTAACATTTTATACAGCATCCCATGTTTTTTAGAATTGGAGTCATAATTTGGCTATAGGTTTAAGCTCTAGCTCCACCCCTGAATTGGCTACATGCTTAATAAAATGGTTGGAACATCAGTTTGTAAAAACCACTAGAAGCTGTGAGGGCCTGCACTATTATGCTGGTGGAAAAAGGGATCACTGCGTATACAACATAGAGTGCACACAGCAATACAGTGTGAGGCAAACACATTTAACTTGTTTAATATATGTGGGAATTTATTTTCACATGAATAGAATACAAAGTACACATGAAACATTGGTGTAGCTCATATAAGGAAACTGTTTCTGGTGTGACTGTGTGAGCTGAAACCAGCTGACGTTGCTCACACAGGAACTACTTTATAATGGTGCATATTTAATGAGGAAACCCATACAATTGAACTCACGATTTCACAACAATGTACATTTTTAAGTTATGCAGACAAACATTTGAAAAATAATAATAATGTTAATCAGTGCAGGTTTCATAAGTAAACCCCTGTTAATTTTCACATTAAATCTTATATTAAAAAAAATACTTTACAGAACCTGTAAAGCTTTAAGACGAGCAATTAATGATACCAATGATTAAAGTGTTTGTGCAGAATTTTAGTGCCAAAAAGCTGTCATCCAGCCCATAATTT